TCAGACATCAACTAAACCATCCTCCAAAACTCCAATATATACAAATCTATCCACACTCTTGTCAAAAATAGGAATCAGAGGACCCTTATTTCTGCCCCAAATACAAGCCCACACCATCAGCTTTACCCCTGGCCCCTTGGTAACTCCATGAATACAGTCTTTGTGCCACTTTTCTTCAGGTGTTCTGAACACCCATATACCCTTAGGATCCTTAGACTTTTCAACCAAGGATTCATCACTAAAGATGACTCCTTCAAAGTCTTCCTTTGTCCAATCCTTATACTTCATTGCCCAAGCTAACCTCTTAACAGCATGCTCATCCTTTAGAAGAGCTCTTTTCCTAGCTCTCCATTTCTTTATGTTGACTGAGGCTAAAGCTCTCTTGACTGTTTGGAGGGAGGAATGTGGTGCAACATCATTGTGCAATTCTGATAAAGTCTGGCGGCGTGCCTTCTTAGACTCTCTGACTAGGTGGCGTTGGGTTCTGGAATTGATAATTTTGGGTCTTCCAGGTATAAGGAGGTTTTTTGCATCACCCCTCTTTTGGAAGCAGTCATGGAAAGTTTGAACAGTACTCTTTGGACGGTTTAAGAGCTCTCCAATCTCTCCAAAAGAGATTTTTTTTTTCTCAGAGCAACTATTTGCCCTTTCTCAAACTCTGTAAGGTAGCCTGTCTTGTGTGGAGGCATCATGGTTGAGGGGTGGTTGATTGTAGGAGTGGGGTGTTTTGAGGTGTCGTGCGGTAACCACCCATCGTACGGATCCTTTTGGCCTAGTACTTTACCATAGTGCACGATCTATTCATTAGTGCTTCTACTCGTGCCGAACCACTCGAGCTCCAATTAGTGATCTCCAGAGCACCGCAGTACAGACTTCACCGGGGTCACCGCAAAACTGGGCTGGATCCTTAACCAATAAACTTTGTTACCCTGCTTTGACAAATTCACTTGTGTCCATAGAATACCCTAGCTCGTCACCCCCCCAGGTTCGTTGTGCCTCCAGTGAAAACTGTACTCGAGCAAACGGAGACTGCCGCAGAACCCCCCCCCCCCGGCCCGAAAACTATCCAAGGCAGATTTCGGAAAGCTGAAATAGTTCACGATACCCACAGAGCCTCCGCGGTATCCCCCCGCCCCCTAGGCGCTATATCACTCGAGCCATGCGCACCGTCGTGCTGCAGCATTATAGGGCATGATACACCCATTTCTTTGGAACCCCAATTGTCTCCATCTTCTTTCCACGAGTGCGAGCCTGGATATTTACAACCAGGGGTGTGATTCATATTGTATACAGAGTACTTGTACAAGTACTAGCATGCTAGTCCCAAGACGATATCCGGTTGACTCCGTGCAAGTGCTACAGCCCTTCAAGGTCAGGATTGTACGAGTAGAACTCCTCCTTTCCCCTTTGTTGCGCAACTCGCAACACTCAATTGGGGGCTGTACTGTATGGTATCAGTATCATACCAACACAAATACCGGTACAAATACCACGCACAGAGGCTGAGCGTGCGGCTCTGTGCAAGGAGCGCCAAGATTTCGCCATTTTTCTGCAAGTATAGATACAGTATCATGCTTGCTTGGCATCCGCATTGGTGGTAAGGGAAGGGTCATGGGAACTCGTGCAAGGTCTGGCAGGAGGTTATGGAACTGTTATTCAAGAGTGACCGGCCAAATATGATATATCCTTGTTTTTTCTCAAGCTACCGGTAATGGGACCCTACTCCGTACCCTATACAGTACCGGTACAAGTACCTGAAAACAGGGATCCACAGAATACGGTACCGGTATGGTACTGCATTCGGGTACAAGTACAGTATGGGCAATCGGCGCATGTCCGAGCGCCTTTTCAAACTCACGGCCCCTGCCCCTGGAGCCCCTCACTGCCCGCTGCGAGCATGATGTTTCCAGCGGCAAAGCTACCGATTGCGCAAAGCTGGGGAGACGTCATGGACGTGGCCAGCTACCAACTTTCGAGCGCAGTACCAGTGGTGACAAGCTCGTGGCGGTGGAGGAAGGGTACCGTACCTGTAGAGCTACCATACCATACCGTAGTTGCCCCGGTGCTCGCACCACGCTCGCACCGCACTACAAGCCGATACACGCTTCTCTGGTGCAATCAATAGATTAACCAAACGAGTCAGATACCGGTACCGGTAGCAAAGGAGAGAAGTAGTAGGGGGAGGAATCACTTTTGGTCGGGACAGCCAAACGGTGCGAGTGTGATGGGCGTAATTTCCGAAGGCAACCCAACACAGGTGCCGGTACTCGAGTACAAGCATGACACTTGTGCGTACGAATGCGGTTTGAAGAATTGGAACCCCGGGCCAGTTTTTAACCATCGGCTCATGATGTCGTGTCATTGGTGAGATAAGGTGTTTTAGTATCCACTCCGGGTTGTTTGTGTCCCGAGGAACTTACCGGTATCATCTTCCGCTCCTACCCATGGCGGGCGGGGTGCCCCCTGGGACCTCGCTGATCATCTTCCCCTATTTCTTCCTACCTTGCCCTGATACAGCACATGTATGATACTCGAGTACGGTACTGGCACAAATATCATACCAGGGGAGACGTTTTTCTTGCTGGAACAAGTACCGGTACCCCATAGAAAGTTAATGTGACAACGGTTACTTTAAGTTTAGAAAATGATCCCTCTCCTGTGCGTAAAAATCTCCCCAGATACCCTACTTGTACTAGTGCTTGTAGAGGGCAAGGGTTATTTTGCGGGTTAATCCTGATTAACTGTTCACTAACTCTATCGGGTGCAAGGATAGGAAAACATCAACAGGAATAAACAAGGACGTACATATTCGGCTGGTTACCCTCGATTACCGGTGGCTTGTTCTTCGGTTTCCGGGTAGTGCTCCAAATGCACAATCCGATAGTTTGCGAAAACAGATAATCCCTAAACTTGTCCTCGTCCCTCCGACGGCCAACACGGCCACAAACTCCCCAGCAGTACCGTACGAGAGAGGAGGGGGGAGAAAGAGAGAGAGGGGGAGTAGTCTACCGTAGCCAAACAAAGATCATCCTCATCAATTCCCAACGAAAGAGAGGGAAGAGGGAAAACAAAGGCCGGGCGTGTGTGTGGGTGTGTGGGTGAGAGAGTGACACATTAGAAACAAGCCTAGGTGTCCATCCCTTCCAAGTAATATCGTAACCAAGTTCGCAAACCATCATATCCGCTGCCTTGTGAGACAACCGAGAACGCAAGAGATTGGCTCTCCATCACATGAAGGGGGAAGAGGGGCATGCTTGTCCTTAGCGGTGGAACATGGGGAGCTGGGTGGTGGTGCGCCTTCTGTTGTGATGGGTGAATGGATTAACGTAGGAAGGTTCAGCCCCTCTCTCCCTCTCTTGGCTTATAAAGCCAATGCCGGGCCTCCTTGGGATTTTACCCACCTTGCACTGTATCCTTCCCTGAGAGTACTCTCATCGTTCGCCCATTTTAGCGAACTCGCCCACCATCACGAGGGAAGCCTTTTTCACGAGACTACAGCGTGAGGGCGAAAGAAGAAGGATCTATATACATCGTCGGAATTTTGATCATGGTTCAGGATACCCGTTGGCCTGCGAAGATACTGATCGCCCTTAGGGGTGTGCAGTTGGTTTTCGCTATTATTTTGTTGGGGCTGTCTGCGTACATGGTCTCGAAGATAGATGACTGGTGAGCCTTTTCTCTTCCTCCCTCCAACCGATTGGTGGTTTGTGCCCCGATTGGACTAACGGCAAGTCTGTCTGCCCGTCAGGTGGGCATGTATTACTCTTGTCTCCGCACTTTTCTCTCTCATTTACATCGGGATCAACTTCTTCCTTTTGTTCTCAAACCTGCTGCTACCGCTGGCTATCACGATTACCGATGCTTTCCTGGCAGTCTTCTGGTTGATATCCATGGCCGGAACCGGGGATAGCGGCATCCTTTCCGTCAGCGATTGTGGCGATTACTACTATTTCTATGCATACTTAAGTACCGTTTGTCAAGTTTCTAAGGCCTCCTTTGCCCTATCCCTTCTTCTTATGTAAGTTCTCTACCGACAGGGTAAACCATTTCTTAAGAATTTGAAACTAACGAGCCCCCCTCTCCTTCTCCAGGCTTCTATTCATTGGATCTCTCGTTCTCGCGTCCATGGTCCTCTTCAAGAACCGAAAAGATCTCCGAGGGGCCAAGTATAACTCGGGAATGGACCCAGACGGCCACCCTCTACCAGACCATGCCAATGCTGCCCCCGCCGTTCCCAATGCCGTCCCGATGGACAGTGTCCCCGGTCAAACCCAATACTACCAGGACCCCCCAAAGAACGAACAGTACCAGCAGTCGTCCACCCCACAGCAGTACCAGACCACTACTTCGCCGGCGTACTACAATGCGACAGCGGCAACCCACCCGATTGATCCATCGGCTGCGCCGGCCCACTACCCACAGGATGCTGGATATCCGCAAGCGGGAGTTGAATCTCCGCCTCCGCCGCCACCGCCAGTTAACGCTGCGGAGATGCCGGCGCGTTGATCTCTCCCTTTTATTTTGTATGGGGTGGTTCACGTTGAAATTTGGTTCAGAACGGTAATTGATGTTTCGCAATGGGGGTTTTCTCGAACTGGAAATATATCTATGGGGTTTCATGTTTTTATTTTCGCTTGGATATTTAACCTTTGGAATGACTGGGCGTCGCGCGTGGCCCTTGACGATCGGTTCAATATGGGGGGGTTTTTTTTTTCTTTTTTCTTTTGTTGGAAATAATATTAGCGGTGGAGACTGGCTTGACTTGCAATAGCGGGAGGGATCCCATGTCTACCGCGTCGCACTAATTGGATTTGTTGGCTGGGCTGGATGGGGCTAGGGGTCGTACTCGTACTACCAGCGCGCTGTGTGACGCGGCGTTTTCACTGTGCCTCTACTGTAATTTGGGGTTGCGGGTGTTCTACAGGTAGTAGTACTCGTACAATCTCGTACGAGTACATACAGTATTGTGCGGAGAGTGCTTTGCCCCATGATGGAAACTCATGACAAAAGTCTCGGGGAGCCTGCAGCACGGGATGCGGCCACTCAAGCAAGGCCGTTCCTATCCGCATGCTGAACTGCGACCCAACAGTGGTGCAGTACCGGCACCGGAGTGGTCCATGGACCCCTTGTTTTATTCTCCAAAAGCAAATAACCCTCCCCCCAGCCAATTGGCCCTTGCGGCTAGGCTGGTGGCTGCACTCGAGTACCGGTAGCCCGGACTTGAGTGAGCATTCGGGAGCATATAGCGATTCGCTCCGGTGCCTGTAGTTCTGGCGATTTATCTTACAAGTGTATATAGTGCTAGTCACTGATAGCTCGTCTTTGACCCCCCTGGCTTAGACTTGGTTGAGCTTTTGCTGTAGTAGCATCATACCGTAGTAAATTTAGAAGGGTTCAGGTACCGGTACCGTACTGTAGTCATCCGGGTTCCCCCCCCCGCCACTCTAACGGACACCGCTCCGCCCAGGAAGGAAATACTCAGGCACGATACCGGCATTATACAGTAATTATAACGTGAAAAAAGGCGAGGTACCGGTACACGGGATTCAATGGCGTAAATTTCTGATTTCGGCGGGCGTCCAGCGAACCATGCTGAACCTTGCTGCGGAATGTCTTCCCGCACAGTACTGTACTTGCCGTTTTCAGAAGTATCCGGACATCAGAAGATTGGCTTGGCAGCAAAAAGAACTACACAATCCACTGTATTATGTGCCCATATTGAGCAGAGAGCGGATTAAAAAATAACAATAATAAAAGGCACTAAAATACCTAACAGTACTCCTCAAGGACCTTTACTGATTGTCGAATTTTTTTCTCCTTGGTATTCTTATCGATCCTTTCTGTTGAGCGAAAGGACCGATAAATGCCAAACTAAGCCCGATATCCGGATACTTTTGAAAGCAGCAAGTACACGCTTCTGGGACGAAATTTCCAAAATCCGGGTAGCCGTGGTCTCCTCACCGAAAGAGTATAGACCAGAATTGTTCAAATACGGAAGCGAGACTACCTGCCTGCCTCAGTTTATGGGAAAGGAGGAGAAAAGAAAACCATCGTCCGTAAAACCTTGGCGCGTGGAGATATCTCGCTTGCACTGTTATTGATGGCAGGGATCTGTGGGTATGGGACTCTATGCTTGCGGGAAGTCATCTACGGTAGTACACTACCGGTATTTGTCCTAGATACTGTACTACTTGTCCCAGGCAAGAAGTACCCGAAATTTTAGACGGAAAACAGGGATAATACAAGGATACATTCAGGGGGCAAAGACATAGCTGAGAGGCCCGTGTACATAGCTGGGAGGCCCGTGAACATATCTGGGAGGCCCATGAACATATCTGGGAGGCCCATGTACATAGTGATAAAAGTGCCAATAAGGCCAGAATTCTTAACTTTTGGCTGGTAAACACCTTCCTATTCATTTTGAGAGCCTATACCAACGTGAAAACAATATATACAGAATAAGAAAAGGTGAGTATTACAGAAATATGAAGATATTTATACTTCTGCTCAGATGCCAATAGATACCTCATATAAAAAGCATTGCTATGTGCATGCTTTACGATTTCATACTGGATGGACTTACCAGCAGATCGCTGAGGACCAAAACATTGGCCTCAGTACTGTTCATGATATCTGCAAGGCCCCAGCAACACTGAAAAAGCAAAAAGGCTGACCTTTCTCTATCAATACTCCTACATGCTGCCACCTTGTTGCTACAGTGACAATGTCCTCTGCTCATCACTGGATGCCCCTTATGGAGATTGCTGAGCTCTGCAGAGTCCAAGGAAGTGAGAAGACCATTCAAAAAGCCTTTTCACTTGAAGGGTATTCTTGCCGAGTTGCACGAAAAAACTTTTTTTGAAGAGCGGCATAAGAGAGAACACTTAGCCTTTGCTCTCCAGCACCAGCACTGGACAAGGGAGGATTGGCGCTGGGTGATATGGACAGATGAGTGTTACCTCTGGCTGTCTGGATCCTATGGCACAATATGGATCACACGGTGCCAAGGAGAAAAGTATGAGGAGGATTGTATTGCTCCCAAGTTTCCCAAAAAAGATATGATTATAATCTGGGGGGGAATATTTAGGGGTAGCAAAACTCCTCTTGTTGTTTGGAATTGGGCAGACTGGGGAACTATAACTGCAAATAGTTATGTAAACAATGTCCTCACTCCCGTCCCATGGCCATACTGGTATTAGGAAAGCCATAGGTGGGGGACAACCCTTGTGATAATGGAAGATGGAGCATCAGCTCACCGTGCCCGGTATATAGCTACAATTCGAGATGGCTATAACATGCCAAAAATTAATTGGCCACCCTGCTTACTGGATCTCAATCTGATAGAGAACGTTTGGCATATCCTAAAAGGTATGCTAAATAAGAGACGCCCCCATCCTGCTGGCCAGTAAGGAATGGTAGAGGCCATCATGGAGGAATAGCAATACATCTCGGAGTTTGAGATCTTGGAATTGGTGGACTCAATGCCAGAGAGAATTGTTGCTGTTATTGCAGCCAATGGTAGTCATACATGCTGGTAGTCTTTTTTTATTTTTTATTTTTAACCATATACATATTGAATTCTGGCTCCGTAATGCACTTTTTCTATCTTGTAAAATACTTGGTTGATGTTCGGAATAGCCAATTTGGTACCCCTGAATTCTCCTGTCTCACCTTACCCCCAGGTGGCTTTTACCCCCCCCTGTGTTTGGGTACTTCTTGCTGGGGATGAGTAGTACGGTACTGTACCAGTATGTTCACTTGGGGGTGGGGGGGTACGGTAGGGTTATCATGTGAAATTAAAAAAAGAAAAAACATATTACGCACCGAAAGGACGAGTGGTTCGACATTGCATCCTACAGGTACTGTACCAGTTCTCGTCGTGTCGTGATGTTTGTAAAATGGACCGGGCTTACAGGGGGTGCAGAGCGACATGCAGAGAGCCACAGAAGAGCCCAAAAAGGAACTAGTTAAACATAAGTAGCAACTGTATACTCGAGTACAAGGGTAATTTATAATACATTAAAATTATTATAGAAATTAAATATTAAACATTAAAAATTAAAACATTAAAACATTAAAAATTAAAATTATTTCCTCCTTCATCTAAAATACAGGCAGCCATCCGATGAGGCATGGAATCAATATGATGATTTATCCGCTCCTGTGGGTAGTTATTCCAAGCCTATAATAGTATTAGATAAAAAGTAATAGAAAGTTGGATTTCAACTTACCTCTTCAAGGACAAGACGGATCTGCCATGCAGTCATTCGTGTACCTATTTTCTCATATAAAATATCCTTTAACTCCGTTCAGATTGTCTCAATCGGATTCAAATCTGGGGAGTTAGCAGGCCATATGAGCTTGGTAAATCCAAGCAGCTCACGAGGGATATTGTGATAATGGTGGACATGTACTGGAGTATTGTCCTCCATTATCACAATATTATGATTCAGAAACTCCTCCTTTGCCTTACCGGTAAATGGATAGAGAAGGGGGTTCAGGATTCGCTCACGGTAGATATACCAATCGATACCCCCTTTTCTATCCACCTTCCTGGTTTTCAATACTGGGTCAGGAAATGGGATTGGTAATCCCAAGGAGCTGGCATTTGCATTTGCTGCCAGTTTCGATTGATACTCTCTTTGAAGAGTAAGAATAGCTTCTTTTCGTTGGTTGGCTGTCTCATATGGTGTACTATACATATGATATGGAAGATCAAAGCCTAGTATATATGTAATAATTTATTAGTATTAAACAATATGTATATATTAGAAATAAAGTTAATTGAACTATAAAGTAGTAATAAATAATAACTTTAAACATAAAAAAGTATAAATTTAAATACAAAGATTTACTTGTACATACCAGCTTTTCCATAGAGGATTGCGCCCCAAAACATTACTGTTGCCCCTTGTGCAAACTTCCGATCAATATTTTGTGGCCGGTAGGCCTCTCCAGCTCGGCGAAGTACCCCACGGGCTCAACGGGACTGTAGACTTCCTGTCTCAAAATAGGACTTATCTGTAAAGATGATATTCCTCCAATCGTAGTGTTGATACTGGTAGCAAAAGGCAAGTCGTCTTGCCTTCTGGTCCGGGCTGAGGGTTGGTTTTCGGACTGGCTTTCGGCGATATATTTTATTTTCACACAGTACTTTAGAAACAGTTTGCCTGCTAACATTCAGTTGCGCTTTTATTTTAAAATTATTATTATTATTATTAGTTACATATTCCACTTTGAATTTTAAATTAAAGAAAAAAAAAAACCTTCTAGTACCTGCTTCCGCTAACTGTGTAAAGGTCATAGGGCAATACTCTGCATCTTGTAGAGTAACCTCCACCAGGTATTCTTTTTGTACCAATGTCAAGGCCTCGTTAGAACCTTTTGCTGAGTTTGGCAATGGGGCAAGATTCTTGTCAGCACAGAGATCGGGGTTTTGGTTTTCGCTGGCTCGCTGACGTGCTGTTCAGATAATATTTGAGCAGGTACTTAGTAGTACCCCAGTTTTTGCTGAAATATCTGCCAAGCTCATCTTTTGTGATCCATCTAACATTGAGTACCCAACAATCTGGCCACGCTTTGCCATTGATGTTGTTTGTCCTCGTAGGGTTGACATTTTAGTGAATTTCCGTGTTGTTGATATTTACAGAGGTCTGGATACAATGTTTACTTTATAAATACCCCTATTCTACTTTTTTATTTTAATACTACTACTACAGTATGAGTATATGAGTACACTAACTATTCTACTAAACCTATTCAGATTTACTATGGCCTTATATGTACCCCTGTACGCCACCATGCAAGCCCGGTCCATTTCACAAACGTCACGACAGGACGAGTACCGGTATTCCGAAAAGGCTCTTAAAGCTGGAGGTGTCAGAAGCAAATAAACACCTTCCCCAGCCATTCTGAGAGCACGTGCGGCACGGGGGAATGCGGCGGCTGTGTCACTTTTTTGATTCACATGGTATGCTGTGGTAC